TCCTCCATACCAAATGAACCAATTTACATGTCGCTTAACTAAGGACGATCTCATTGTCCAATCCCATCATTCTAATGTCAATCCATAAAAGTAACCTCTATTCGCGTTTGTTAACACATGTTTCACATTGTCATTACTGTGACCAGTAACTTCGTTGCAACGAATTCGGTATTGCTCATCATATGGCCTCCAAACTGATAAACATATCGGGCCAGTAGTTTTATGACAAAACTCAAAGTAAAGACAACTCATCGTCTGGTGGAATTTTGGCGCTTGTTGGTGTCCATTAATCTAATTGCAAGCATAATGATTGCTAAAATTAAGCTTTCACGCAACACACTGGGAGTTTGGGGTGTGAACTTGGAGTAAAAGTTGATATTGGGTTTGGGAAAGGAAGTGGTGAGAGGAAGAAATTGTGTTTGAATTTGGTAGCAGGTAAAGTTCATGGTTCGGTTTCTTTTTGTAAAATGCTTTGATTTATTTTAGTTAGAGGTATAACATCATGGTTATGTGGGGTCAAATGAACAAAAAAACGGTTTGGGGGATGAGAATTCCAACTTAGAAGGAGTGGATTAGATTTTGATAAACTCAAGTTCATGATTCACTGAAATAATATTTAGATTTAGACTTTGTGATATTGAGATGTTCATAGAGAGTTTAAAACTAATCCAAGGCTAAGGATTGACATTAGTTAGTTGATTGTAATTTTGAGGAAGGTGTATAAAAAGTCATGGAAGTAGTTTGCAGCAAGTGAAGGCAGTGACGAGACAGTTGGTCAGGGTAGTGATTGAACCAAAGACTAGGAGGGTATTGAAAGACATAGAAGCAAAATCGGAGCAGTTGAAGAGAGATAACTGGTAGATAATCAGGATATTAATGAAAATGGAGAGGGTACTGAAGGGCATGGAAGTGAACTATATAAGGTGAAGGCAGAGAAGGAGGAGAAGAGCATATTGATGGACCTGAAAATGAGTGTTGGTTTTACGAGCTTATAAAAACTGCGCCGAGAAAGATGAGTTGGCCAAATACAAGAAAGATGATTGAGGAGTTGGAGATCAAGCTAACAAGAAACTCAATTGAAAGAGAAATTCAGGTTCATGGAGAGAAGGTCCATCAAAGTAGCATAAATAGAGTTGCAGAAGGAGGACCAGAAATTGAGTTTTGGTTAAAAACATATGCGTCGAGAGATTGAAGATGGAGGGGATAGAAAGTTGGTTGTACAACGGAGAGTGAAAACTATTGGATCTTTAGGTGTTATGGATGTTGCAACTACCATAACCTATGTTTATGTTAAAACGAGGAATCATTAATTGATTTACTAAAGTTAAGGTCGATACACTATTCAAACTACTAGAACCTGTAGATAAGGAGTGTCTAATTTTTTGCCTCATTACTTTGATCGAGTCTATTAGTATATTGGATGTAACTCTAATTTTGTCATTTGCTCTCAAGTTTTGATGGTCTCCTTTTAGTTGAGTTGTTAAGGTATGATTTACTTGAATTAATAACTCTTCATTTATGTTTTTTTTATAAATCCATTTCTTTTTTATTAGTGGCATGTTATTCATAGAGGAGAGCTTTGAACCATTTATGTGGGACTGTGAGGTTTCATTTCAGTTTCAAACTATCTATGGATCGTGTGGGAATTCCAATGAGTTTTTATATTATATATTTCTTGACAATCTATTAACCAATATCATTTTAATGAGGCTCAATTATCATTATGAAAATGGGCTCATTGATACATTTTTATATTCTTAAATGAGACGGGTATTTCCCTAAATGTTCGACCTATAGCATCTCGATTGAATAATTTTTAATAAACTTAAACGAATTAATAAACTTAAACATTACATAAAAATATAAATATTAAAATATTAACATTCCGGCCAACGAGGAGGTTATAAGCTAGTAGAAAATAGGAAACCAAAGTTTCCCAAACCGGTGTGAGAATCGAAACATTGCGCTCTGTTCGGCCTAGGCCTGGAATACCACAACCTAGAGATTTAATGAGTTAAAAGAACCGGCCCACCTTTGAACGCGGTGCTTAGCGAGACTTGAGTCCGGTTCCCAATCTCTGGGCTGCCCTGAGCCCGCCTTTAGATCCGATCATCCGAATCTAAGACTCTCAGCCGGAGACTGTCACACCCTGGGAGAAAGAATAGTCTTGGCGAGTTGTTTGGTTACAGAGAAAGAGTGAGAAAGGGAAAGAAAGTTGAAGAAGAAGAGGAAGAACAGGAGGAAGAAGAAACAGAGGAGAATACAGGGAAGGAAAGTAGAAGAGAAGAGATAGGGCAGAAGAAGCAAATTGTGTAAATTGTTATTCGATAACTCTCCATTACAGCAGACCCTTTCTTTTATATGCCTTCCTAATTACAAAATAGTCCCCAAACTATAGGGTAGTTATCATAAATGGTCACAAACCTTTGTACTTTGTACAAAACGGTCATAAACCTTTATTTTTGTACGATTTGGTAATATAAGTTTAAGCGTATAACAAAACGATCATTCCGTCCATCTCCATCCAAAATTCTGTTAATTTAGTCCAGTCAGTAGTCCATGTCATCAAAATTAATAATAAAATAATAAAACTTAATCAAACAACCCAACCCATCCCAACCCAAACCCACCCGGACTCTATCCACCTAACTCTCTCACTACCCAACCGTCTTAACCTATCTTCAGTCCGAGTAAAAAACTCAGGGATCTGAAGTGGATCTCTCTCTCCAAATATTTCCCAGAACTCTTCCTCTGTCCCAATCCTTGAAAGTATCAAGATTCCTTCCCCCCATTTTAACCAACCCTTTCCCCCATTTGCGACTGCTGCTCTTCCCAGGCATGGCTAGGGCTGTCGGTTCGGTTCGGTTCGGGTAACCGAACCCGAAAACCACAAAAACCGAAACCCGAACCCGCCTCCCTCAAACCCGAAACCGGAACCGAATTCTGTGCTCTGCGGGTTTCGGGTTCAGAAACCCGAAAAAATAGTTAGTGGTTTCGGTTCGGTTCGGGTGAACCCGAAACCGAAACGAGTTTTTTTTACTCTCTTCTCTCCACCGCCATCCAATGGCGCCTCCGCCAACCATTCTCCATTCCCGATCTACACCAATCTTCCTACTCCTCGCCGTTTTAATCCCCGCCGCGGCCTCAATCGACATCGCGTCCGTCCTCTCCCCTTACCCGGACTTCTCCTCCTTCACCGCCCTCCTCTCCTCCACCCCTTCCCTCGCCAACGAGATTGCCCACCGCTCCTCACAATTTCTTCTCATCAAAAGTCTCTAATAATCAAGCATAAAACTCAGAATCACAATCACCACAAACCAAAATACCCACAACATTGCAAATAGCAGCTACCCACTAAAAATTACAGCCATCCCTCTAGTACACAGAAGAAACAAACACATAAACTGAAAGAGGGAAAGAGAAAACAGTAGCAGAACAGGGACAAAAAATCGATTCCCTTGCTCCTCCCTAAACCCAGAACGAGAAAGGTATAACAGAACGAGAAATGTATAACAAATCGATTCTCTTACTGGGATTCCATATGTGAGGTCAGAATTGAACAGGGGATCGCTTTCCAGCTCCCGAACCTGCAACACCACAAATCGATTCTCTTCCTGGGAACCCATGTAAACGAGAAACGAGGAGGAGTAAAACAAGGGAATGAAAACGTACAAGTTGGGGAGATTACAGGGGAGAGCAGAGATGTCGAGATTGAGGCAGCGAGTGAGGAGGCGTTTGGCCTGTCGTCTGATTCTGTCTCTTCGTCGTCGATGGGCGAGGACGATGATGGTGGCGACTGGCGAGGAGGCTCTGTTACGAGGCAAAGACGAAGAGACGGCGAGCCGACTGCAGGAGGTGAAGTCGTGAAGACTAGGGTGTGCAGTTTCGGGTTTGTGGGTTCTTTTCGGTTTTCGGGTTTAGTAAACCGAAACCGATGCAACTTCATAGCGGGTTCAACCCGAAAAACCGAAACCATCACTGTGCAATTCGGTTCGGGTTCGGGTTAACCCGAAAACCCGAAACCGAACCGACAGGCCTAGGCATGGCTTCAGCTCTTTAGATCCTGAAGAAGAAGAATCTAGCTCACCACCACACCTGCCTCCGTCGTTGACTCGGGGCCGCCGTCAAACGCCATCACCGAACGAATCGATGTCGATCAAAAACGAATCGCCATGGCTCTCCACTGGTTCTCTCAACTCGTACTTCTTGTAGTAGCTCAACTCCGTTGCCGGCCGTCAGATCTCAGTCGAATCGCCACCGATTTTCGTGCGGCCCCCGACCAAGTAGTTGGGGAAAATCGGGTCCCGTCGCCATTCCTGCAATCGACATTCAATCTCTCGGATGTCGTTCCCCTACATATGTGCTTCACGAGCCGATCGAAACCGATCATCTTCGTGGAATAGTCTGCAGATCCCCGCCGCGGCCGCTCGGTGAAAGAAGAAGAATGCGCCGCCGTTGGGTAGTGAGAGAGGTAGGTGGGTAGAATCCGGTAGGGTTGGGTTGGGATGGGTTGTTTGGTTAAGTTTTATTATTTTATTATTAATTTTGATGACATGGACTGCTGACGGGACTAAATTAACAGAATTTTGGATGGAGAAGGACGGAATGACTGTTTTGTTATACGCTTAAACTTGTATTACCAAATCGTGCAAAAACAAAGGTTTGTGACCGTTTTGTACAAAGCGCAAAGATTTGTGACCATTTATGATAACTACCCCAAACTATATCACCCTTTAATCCCATTCGTTACAGAGACCCTTGGATTCCTCCCGGCAATACTGCCGTCTGTTTCCCCGCTATTCCGAGTTCGGTAGGGAGGGTGAGATTCCGTCTGTTCCTGTGGATTTCAACTCGAAGCATCGCACTGCGGCTGCGCGATTCCATTCTGACGAAAGCAAGCTTAAGTCGAGAATCACGTTCGTACTTAACTAATTACTTACTTCTTGGGAAGAATTTTGGTCCAGATAGAAGAAAACCCTAAACCTAGAAACCTTCCATCCATGGCATCGCGGAAGAAAGAGGCCGAGGGAATTGCTTTGTTGTCTGTGTACAGCGACGAAGACGACGAGGAAATGGAAGAACCTGACGAACAGGGAGACGGAGAAGCAGAGATGCGACGGCGGCAGCAGCAACAACAACAACAGCAATTAGAAGGCAGCGACGATAGGGAATCGAATTACATGGAAGAAGATTCGGCGAACGACGCGATGGTTACTGATGAGTACGGCAATGGAGCTACCCCGCCGGCAGGCGAACATAATGCATCTCCGAAGGAGGTGGCGCTGCAGCAGGTTCAGGTTTCGTTCTCTTCGTCTTCCCCGCAGCAGTTGCAGGAAGGACGAGCGGTTAGTTCGAAGAGAAGTGGGAGGGGGAGGCTTACGATAGTAGACTATGGGCATGATGAAGTTGCAATGTCTCCTGAGCCCGAAGACGGTGAAATTGGTAAGCGTTTTCATCTTTGGTGCCTTTACTCTGATTTTCAGCTTTTCAGTATCATCTTCTGTTACTTTCCGTTGCCTGTGTTTTCGCTTTTATTCTTTGATGCCTGCTGGAATTGGCAGCTCAATGGTTTCAGTGTTGTGTTAGGGTCAATTTTGGTGTCTGTTCGAAAATTCAGAACGCTGAAATGTGGATGCATACAAAATCTCTAGCAGCTCTACTGTCACACAAGTCTTTCCGCAATGGTAATGGTTTAGAAATTTGCAGAGTTGAAATTTGCACGGGCGTTAAGCAGGTGTAAACCTGACACTGGGGTTTGGGAGCAAGATTCATAAGGTCTATCTTTTTAGTGCGTTCTTTTCTTGAGATGTTCCTGGGGGGCAATGTTGGTCAGTTATAATTAGTATTGCTGCAAGACGACTGTCAATTTTTTTTTGCAATAATCTGATGCCATTTGGTAATTTCTATTTTGTGCATTGCAGATGCAGGTAGAGAAGAGATGATTCCAGGGCCAAGTCAGCCATTTGGATCCGAGGCTTCACAGCTAACTGATCACTCGGAAGCACCTCAGTCAGATAATATGAACAATAGCTCCGATGAATTGGAAGCTGTCAAGGTTGAGGACTCTACTGGACTTACTGAGGGCAAGGCGGATCGGTTGGATAAATTTCTACCGCCACCACCTAAAGAGAAGTGCCCATCAGAGTTGCAAGTAAGTCACTCCTTGCTGTCCATTTTGAATCCCTTTTATATAACTACATACTGTTTTGTGTATCCAGACTTAGTTCCAACCTTGGTTTTTCTGTTATTGAAACAACAATAGGCAAACTTTGATTTTATTTAATCTTTTTGATGCCCGGATATGATTCTTTAGCGGGCAGCCTGATTTACGCATATCATATTCAGCTATATTTTCTTTCTACTGATTTTGTTTTTCTCTGCGGTGCTTTGGTGTTGCTATGCTACTTGCAGAATCGAATAACAAAGTTCATCACTTTGAAGAAAATTGGCAGAAGCTTCAATGCAGAGGTCCGTAATAGAAAGGATTATAGGAACCCTGACTTCTTGCTGGATGCTGTTAGATATCAGGATATTGACCAGATAGGAACTTGCTTCAGTAAAGATGTATTTGACCCCCATGGATATGATAAAAGCGACTTCTATGATGAAATAGGTAATCAGTTGTTCCTCTATCTGTATTTCCAAAGATGCACATTTGCTTTGGGTTATGTTGCTTGTGATATTGCTTGATATGAGGTTTACACGGGAGCACGTTGTAAGCTTTGTTGGTTACGCTGTGCCTTTCCTTGTTATGTATACTGTTGTACTTGAATCCTTCACCTGCACCTGCACCTGCACCATATACAGTTATCTACTACTTGAACCTAAGTTGGTGACTATGTATAACACTGCAGCATTTCATGTATTTGTCAAGCAGAGGTTGATTTGAGGCGAGATAAAGAAAGGAGGGAGCAGGAATTGAAGAAGAGCCCAAAGGTTGAATTTGCACCAGGAGGAACTCAACCAGGAATTGTGGTGCCTCCTTCAAGATTCAGCATGGCTATTCCAGGTATGATGGAGTCTTAAGTAACAAGTTGATTATAGTTGATGTTTCATTTTGTAGTATTTTAGTACTTAATACTTTGGTGGCTATCTCACAGTTGCTGCCAGTGGATTGCCACCAGCACCAGAACCAGTTTCACGAAATGGTAGGCAAAACAAGAAGTCAAAATGGGATAAGGTTTTGTTCTTCTCCGCATCTCTCCGCGTCTTTTCTGTTTTCGTCCACCCGCTTATTTGTGTAGGCAGCTATTCTGATCGTTGCTTTTCAGGTGGATGGTGATGGAAGGAATTCTCTCTCAGGTGGTGGGCAAGATTCTTTAGCTACAGCAGCTGCTGCTCATGCCGTGTCTTCTGCTAATGCTGGTTCTGGTCCTTCTGGATATCCAGCTTTTGTGTAAGTATTTCGTGCCATGCTGAACTTTACTTTATCTCTAACTGCTGCAGTTTTAGTCGCTTGAGTGAACACGAGTCCTGTTGGTTGTTAATGTAAAACAGTAAAAGCTGTATATGTCCTCCAGACAGGAGGAGCCTTGATTTGACCAACGGTTGACATTCTCTCTTGTATGCAGTCAGCAGAAACGGCGGGAGGCAGAAGAGAGAAGATCCGGGGAGCGTAAGAACGACCGAAGGTCATGATTATTTTCCGGTGAAGTATGTGGTTCAAGTATATGCATATACACAGTGGCTTGAGTTGGTGGGAAATAAGAATTTCACTGAACTGCAAAGCCGGAAAGCATACTTGAAAATGTAACATGTCTCTTGTCAAGGGATGCAACGGATCAGGACTGATATTACTCTACTCATATTCTGGAAAAATTCCCAAAATACACTAGTTCTTAAAAACAATTCTCAAAATACATTAGTTATGAAAATAATTCTCAAAGTACGTATGCTTCAGCATCACATCGGTTGTCCAAGATAGTGAAGATAATCACCGCCTTTGACAATAATGGCGAAGCTATCACCGCTTTAAAGAAAAGGGGGAAACAATCATTGCCGTAGAAGAAAATGGTGAATGCATCACTGTCTTTGTCCAAAACAGTGATGCCAATCACCGGTGTGGTCAATAACGGTGAACATATCATCGTTGTTGTCCAAAACGGTGATTGTTTATCATAGAGGTGTCAATCGGGCGGGTTCGGGCGGGGTTCATTCGGGTTGCGGGTTGGTCGGGTTGCGGGTCGATCGGGTTCGGGTCGATCGGGTTGCGGGTTACTCGGGTTACGGGTCAATCGGGTTGCGGGCCAATCGGGCTGCGGGCCAATCGGGTTACGGGTCAATCGGGTGCGGGTTAATCGGGTTGCGGGTCGGGCGGTTCGGGTTACGGGTTTTACAGACCAGAACATCGCGTTAGTTTTTAGTGATTACTAGTAAGTCGTAAATCGTAACTATATGAAGCTAGCATAATACTTGTAAAAAAAAAAAGGAATCACTACTCAAAGTTATAAGATTAGCGTCAATAAAACAAATATCAACACAATTGAAAATAATCTTTCTTGTAGCATGAACACCAGCAAAATTGAAATCATCTATAGAATTATCCAAATCATCATGCTGATACAAGATTTATAAACTAGCTTAAATACCAATAAACTCTCAAATCTTCATGCTGAGTTGAGGATAGGTACGGGGAAGGGAGAAAGAGAGAGAGAAAGAGCGAGTGTGTGTTTGGAATTTGGAGGCTTGCGGGCCAAAATTTTTGAGAGCTAAGGTTTTCCTTTTTTGCGCTTTGTGGCCAAATTTTTTGAAAAGAGGCAGCTACTTTGCCGCTGGAGCAAATAAAAACTTGAAGCCAATTCTACCAAAAATGAAAATTTTGGAGCCAAATACCAAAAAATATTTGGAACCAAAGTCTCTTTTGCGCTTGGCGGCCCAAATTTTAGAAAATAGGCGGTTACGTTGTCGCTGGAGTAAATGAAAATTTGGAGCCAATTCTACCAAAGATAAAAATTTTGGAACCAAAATACATCTTAAGCAAAAAGAATTTATCCCTCATAAAATTGAAAAAAATAATTTATAAAGAAATTCTTAAAAGTTCACACGAATTACCGTGATTAATCACGGAAAATGAAGACTAAAAAACTGATAAATAATTCCCCGTGATTATAGCTAAACTGGGCCAAGCTTTTACTTAGCTCAGACTCGAGCTTTACAAAGATTTTCTCAACTCAAGCTTGATCTCAGCTTGATTATAGCTAAAAAAACTAAGCTCATAGCTAAAAAAACAAGCTCATCAAGCCCAACATACTATGCCCAATAGTAGACACACAAGAGCCATTATTGGGCCAGAAAAAACCAAAATTGCAGCCTATTGTAAGGGCCACTTCTTGGAATTGCTCTGGACTTGCCCCAAATGAAGAAAATCGCTCATTATTATATAGTTGGGGAAGAGTGGAATTTATCTTCTACCAACGATGTGGTAGAAAATGCTTTCCTCACCAAACAACAGAGCAGGCAGCAGCAGAGTAATAGCAGAGAAGCCACCGTTGCCATTACAGTTCCTCTTGTTGAAGTTCCCCGTTGCTTGGACAATGCCCTCATACAGTAAAGGAACTCCGAAATGGGAATTTGAGGAATCCAATGATAATGCAGCTTCACAATACAACTTTTGAGTCTCTTCCATTGTTGAGCTCGGCTGCTGCATTTGGGTTGTAACTCTTTGCTCTGTGGTAACCAGGTAAACGTGGAAACAAAATAGTATTGGATGATGGAATCCGTCTATTCTTGTACCAGACAGTTGGGACTTGGGGACAGGTCGAGCCAGCTTTGACAGAATGGTAAGTGCTGCAGCACACTTTTGTTCCAAGAGCTGTTAGTTTCTTGTACTTGTTAGCTGACATCAATCTGCTGCTATCTACATTGAAGGTAACGTAGAGTGACTTTTAGTGGCAAAGCTCGTTGTTCCTATCAATTTGGATGATTGTTGTTGCTTTTGGAGGACTTGTGTTTTTGTGGTGGAAAGACATGTATATGTACATTGACGTGGAGGGGAAGTTGAGAGGGTGCTGTTGGGTGGTTGATGTAAATTACAATAAATATTTATTGTATGCCTATGATTTTAGGTTCATAACAAACCATCCATATGAGCATCCTATGTTCTTTTATTTTAGGTTTCTTTATGTTTTTAGCTTAAAAAGACACTAAACCATGACCATATACCCTATACACTAACCTTAAACAATGAACTATAGTTATATGTTACGAAATTGTTGGTAGAACGTACGTTATGTGAAAAATGTAAGTTAATTCAATTTTATATTTGATTATTGTGAAGAACATACGCCCTAATCCTCCTAACTCTAAACCATGACCGTATACCCTATGCATTAACTTTAAACCCTAAACTCTTGTTACATGTCATGAAATTGTTGGTAGAACGTAGGTTATGTCAATTTTAGATTTATATTATTGCGAAAAACATAAGTCCTCATCCTAAGATTCCTTACCCGAAATCATTTTAGATTTTGATTCAAGAGTCTCAATGATTTATTATTTATAAATACATATTGTAAGTTAGATTTTGATTCAAGTGTCTCAATGATTTCTTATTTATAAATAAATGTTGTAAGTTGCAACCAAGTTTAATTAAGTCAAGTTTAGGCGAGAACCTTGAATTGCAAAGACTATCACAAAACGAACAAGGATTTGGCCTAGTGGTAATACCACTAGCCTAGAACGGTAGAACCTGGAGGTCCCATGTTCAGATCCCTAAGTAGTTCCTTAATCGCAAAAAAGAAATCTATATCACCCTTATATATATATATATATATATATATATATATATATATATATATATATAAAAGCCTATCACAAAAGTCAACTAGTCCACCAAATCAATTTGTTAGATCTTTAACTTGTTGAGTATATTAACATTTGAAAAAGTTTTAGATTGTGAAAAATAAGAGTTGACCTACTGAACCAGAAAGAGGAAAGAGGCAGAGATCATAAACTATTAACATTTGAAAAGATACTACTGTATTTGTATGATTGGCTTAATTAAGTCAATTATGTTTTTCATATGTATGTGTGTTATCTATATATATTATTTATATACATCAATTAAAATGTCGATAACCCCTCCAAGAATTTCTACTTATCTACTCAGACTTTATGTGAATCAATTTAATGGCAATTGGGAACACAAAATAAAGCTTGTTCTTGGTGGAAAAGATGAAAAAATTAATGTGCACTATTAGGTTGATGATGTATCTAAATAAATATTTGATGATATTATATGTGTTAATAGGTTGATGATGTATATTATTATACTAAGTCAATAATTGATGATGTAATGATCAGACTTTAGTAAACTAGAATTTCAAATGTCAACTTTTGGTTTATCTTCATCGAATTCCTTCTATTATAGTCGGGATGCGGGTTGGTCGGGTTATGGGTTCGGGTTGGTCGGGTTGCGGGTTGGTCGGGTTTCGGGTTAATCGGGTTACGGGTCGATCGGGTTGCGGGTTGGTCGGGTTGCGGGTCGATCGGGTTGCGGGTCGGGCGGGTTACGGGTCATTGACTTTTAGTCAAATCGGGTTGCGGGCGGGTTGCGGGTCGGGTTGATCGGGCGGGTTACATTTTGACAGCTCTAGTTTATCACGTTTTCCAACCCTGGTAGGTGGAAATTAAGTCACAACGACCTACCTTTCGCCGTTGTAGGCGACGACGATGATATGTTCACCGCTGCTGTCCATTGCGATGATTAGTGGTTGATTTTTCATATAAAAGGCCCTCCCCCACATACATTGTCTCAATATTCTGTCCCATTCCACCAATTTTTTTCCAAAAATCCCTTCTTAGCCTGCTTTTAGCAATTACGGTTATAGAAACACAAAATTTTTGGTATGTTACAATTCTGTATTGTTTAGATTTTAATGATTATATGTCTGTATTTAATGAATTGCGGTTAGTCACAAATATGTTGTGTTAGAGATATTTAAATTAATTATGGTATATTGAAGTTATTTAGATGAATTTGTTTAGTATACTCATATGCTTAATTATGGTCCATGTTTCGATTAGTTGCGATTGTTTGTGGATTTCGATGATATTATTTTTGTCGCCCTAAAAATATGGTTTTGGATAATGTTTGTGTAGCTCCAAAACTAATTAAACTTATTATAAATTGCAGACATGGGTAAATGTTATGAGACAATCCAAGTACCACATCGGTAATACAAAGGAAGGAACCCTTGTATATTAGTGTCCACCTAGCCCAATTAGTACGAGGCCTTTTGGGGAGGACACCCAAGAGTAAAACCGTGCGGGCTTGGCCCAAAGCGGACAATATCGTACTAATTGAGCACCCCGGTTTGACAAGTGGTATCAGAGCCTGGTTTGGCGGATCCGGGGCGGTGGACGTCAGTTCGGTGGGACCCTCGTTTGGTGGCCTCAGGATTTGCGATCTGCGTCTGGTTTGATGGATCCAGGAGAGATCCACGTTTGGGCTATGCGGATCAAGGGAGGTCCGCGTCTGGAAAGCAGATCAAAGAGAGTTCTGCATCTGGAAATATCCTTGTAACGAGAAGCTCATCGATACAAGGTGTCTGTCGGATCAAGATAATCGCTGAGGTGAGGACACGAAGTTCGTGGTCCTTGTCTTGAGGGGAGGATTGTTATGGGACAATCCAAGTACCACATCGGTAATACAAAGGAAGGAACCCTTGTGTATATTAGTGTCCACCAAGCTCATTAGTACCCCTTTTGGGAGGACACCCAAGAGTAAAACCGTGCGGGCTTGGCCCAAAGCGGACAATATCGTACTAATTGAGCACCCCGGTTTGACAGAAAATTTAAGAAGTTTCAGCTTATTATTCGGTGGAATGGTCGGGTGACAAACTCTAACTTTGGGATCGATTATGAAAATGGTGAATACACTATGTTGAAAATTGAGTCGAGAT